TGTGAGTCTGACTCCTCAGTGTGTACGAGTGTGAGTCTGACTCAGTGTGCACGAGTGTGAGTCTGACTCTCAGTGTGCACGAGTGTGAGTCTGACTCAGTGTGCACGAGTGTGAGTCTGACTCTCAGTGTGCACGAGTGTGAGTCTGACTCAGTGTGCACGAGTGTGAGTCTGACTCTCAGTGTGCACGAGTGTGAGTCTGACTCAGTGTGCACGAGTGTGAGTCTGACTCTCAGTGTGCACGAGTGTGAGTCTGACTCAGTGTGCACGAGTGTGAGTCTGACTCTCAGTGTGCACGAGTGTGAGTCTGACTCAGTGTGCACGAGTGTGAGTCTGACTCTCAGTGTGCACGAGTGTGAGTCTGACTCAGTGTGTACGAGTGTGAGTCTGACTCAGTGTGCACGAGTGTGAGTCTGACTCTCAGTGTGCACGAGTGTGAGTCTGACTCAGTGTGCACGAGTGTGAGTCTGACTCTCAGTGTGCACGAGTGTGAGTCTGACTCTCAGTGTGTACGAGTGTGAGTCTGAATCAGTGTGCACGAGTGTGAGTCTGACTCTCAGTGTGCACGAGTGAGTCTGACTCTCAGTGTGCACGAGTGAGTCTGACTCAGTGTGTACGAGTGTGGAGTCTGACTCTCAGTGTGCACGAGTGTGAGTCTGACTCAGTGTGCACGAGTGTGAGTCTGTCTCTCAGTGTGCACGAGTGTGAGTCTGACTCTCAGTGTGCACGAGTGTGAGTCTGACTCTCAGTGTGTACGAGTGTGAGTCTGACTCAGTGTGCACGAGTGTGAGTCTGACTCTCAGTGTGCACGAGTGTGAGTCTGACTCTCAGTGTGCACGAGTGTGAGTCTGACTCTCAGTGTGCACGAGTGTGAGTCTGACTCAGTGTGCACGAGTGTGAGTCTGACTCTCAGTGTGCACGAGTGTGAGTCTGACTCAGTGTGTACGAGTGTGAGTCTGAATCAGTGTGCACGAGTGTGAGTCTGACTCTCAGTGTGCACGAGTGTGAGTCTGACTCTCAGTGTGCACGAGTGTGAGTCTGACTTCAGTGTGCTAGAGTGTGAGTCTGACTCTCAGTGTGCACGAGTGTGAGTCTGACTCTCAGTGTGCACGAGTGTGAGTCTGACTCCAGTGTGCACGAGTGTGAGTCTGACTCAGTGTGCACGAGTGTGAGTCTGACTCTCAGTGTGCACGAGTGTGGAGTCTGACTCGTGTGCACGAGTGTGAGTCTAGACTCTCAGTGTGCACGAGTGTGAGTCTGACTCAGTGTGCACGAGTGTGAGTCTGACTCTCAGTGTGCACGAGTGTGAGTCTGACTCTCAGTGTGCACGAGTGTGAGTCTGACTCTCAGTGTGCACGAGTGTGAGTCTGACTCTCAGTGTGCACGAGTGTGAGTCTGACTCAGTTGTGCACGAGGTGTGAGTCTGACTCAGTGTGCACGAGTGTGAGTCTGACTCAGTGTGCACGAGTGTGAGTCTAACTCTCAGTGTGCACGAGTGTGAGTCTGACTCAGTGTGCACGAGTGTAGTTTGTGAGTCTGACTTTCAGTGTGCACGAGTGTGAGTCTAACTCAGTGTGCACTAGTGTGAGTCTGACTCAGTGTGCACGAGTGTGAGTCTGACTCTCAGTGTGCACGAGTGTGAGTCTGACTCTCAGTGTGCACGAGTGTGAGTCTGACTCTCAGTGTGCACGAGTGAGTCTGACTCAGTGTGCACGAGTGAGTCTGACTCAGTGTGTACGAGTGTGAGTCTAACTCAGTGTGCACGAGTGTGAGTCTGACTCTCAGTGTGCACGAGTGTGAGTCTAACTCAGTGTGCACGAGTGTGAGTCTGACTCTCAGTGTGCACGAGTGTGAGTCTGACTCTCAGTGTGTACGAGTGTGAGTCTGACTCAGTGTGCACGAGTGTGAGTCTGACTCAGTGTGCACGAGTGTGAGTCTGACTCAGTGTGCACGAGTGTGAGTCTGACTCTCAGTGTGCACGAGTGTGAGTCTGACTCAGTGTGTACGAGTGTGAGTCTGACTCAGTGTGTACGAGTGTGAGTCTGACTCTCAGTGTGCACGAGTGTGAGTCTGACTCTCAGTGTGCACGAGTGAGTCTGACTTAGTGTGCACGAGTGAGTCTGACTCAGTGTGCACGAGTGAGTCTGACTCAGTGTGCACGAGTGAGTCTGACTCAGTGTGCACGAGTGAGTCTGACTCAGTGTGTACGAGTGTGAGTCTAACTCAGTGTGCACGAGTGTGAGTCTGACTCAGTGTGCACGAGTGTGAGTCTGACTCAGTGTGCACGAGTGTGAGTCTGACTCTCAGTGTGCACGAGTGTGAGTCTGACTCTCAGTGTGCACGAGTGTGAGTCTGACTCAGTGTGCACGAGTGTGAGCCTGACTCTCAGTGTGCACGAGTGTGAGTCTGACTCTCAGTGTGCACGAGTGTGAGTCTGACTCAGGTGTGCACGAGTGTGAGTCTGACTCTCAGTGTGTACGAGTGTGAGTCTGACTCAGTGTGCACGAGTGTGAGTCTGACTCTCAGTGTGCACGAGTGTGAGTCTGACTCAGTGTGCACGAGTGTGAGTCTGACTCTCAGTGTGCACGAGTGTGAGTCTGACTCAGTGTGCACGAGTGTGAGTCTGACTCTCAGTGTGCACGAGTGTGAGTCTGACTCAGTGTGCACGAGTGTGAGTCTGACTCTCAGTGTGCACGAGTGTGAGTCTGACTCAGTGTGCACGAGTGTGAGTCTGACTCTCAGTGTGCACGAGTGTGAGTCTGACTCAGTGTGCACGAGTGTGAGTCTGACTCTCAGTGTGCACGAGTGTGAGTCTGACTCAGTGTGTACGAGTGTGAGTCTGACTCAGTGTGCACGAGTGTGAGTCTGACTCTCAGTGTGCACGAGTGTGAGTCTGACTCAGTGTGCACGAGTGTGAGTCTGACTCTCAGTGTGCACGAGTGTGAGTCTGACTCTCAGTGTGTACGAGTGTGAGTCTGAATCAGTGTGCACGAGTGTGAGTCTGACTCTCAGTGTGCACGAGTGAGTCTGACTCTCAGTGTGCACGAGTGAGTCTGACTCAGTGTGTACGAGTGTGAGTCTGACTCTCAGTGTGCACGAGTGTGAGTCTGACTCAGTGTGCACGAGTGTGAGTCTGTCTCTCAGTGTGCACGAGTGTGAGTCTGACTCTCAGTGTGCACGAGTGTGAGTCTGACTCTCAGTGTGTACGAGTGTGAGTCTGACTCAGTGTGCACGAGTGTGAGTCTGACTCTCAGTGTGCACGAGTGTGAGTCTGACTCTCAGTGTGCACGAGTGTGAGTCTGACTCTCAGTGTGCACGAGTGTGAGTCTGACTCAGTGTGCACGAGTGTGAGTCTGACTCTCAGTGTGCACGAGTGTGAGTCTGACTCAGTGTGTACGAGTGTGAGTCTGACTCAGTGTGCACGAGTGTGAGTCTGACTCTCAGTGTGCACGAGTGTGAGTCTGACTCAGTGTGCACGAGTGTGAGTCTGACTCTCAGTGTGCACGAGTGTGAGTCTGACTCTCAGTGTGTACGAGTGTGAGTCTGACTCAGTGTGCACGAGTGTGAGTCTGACTCTCAGTGTGCACGAGTGAGTCTGACTCTCAGTGTGCACGAGTGAGTCTGACTCAGTGTGTACGAGTGTGAGTCTGACTCTCAGTGTGTACGAGTGTGAGTCTGACTCAGTGTGCACGAGTGTGAGTCTGACTCTCAGTGTGCACGAGTGTGAGTCTGACTCTCAGTGTGCACGAGTGTGAGTCTGACTCAGTGTGCACGAGTGTGAGTCTGACTCAGTGTGCACGAGTGTGAGTCTGACTCTCAGTGTGCACGAGTGTGAGTCTGACTCAGTGTGCACGAGTGTGAGTCTGACTCTCAGTGTGCACGAGTGTGAGTCTGACTCTCAGTGTGTACGAGTGTGAGTCTGACTCAGTGTGCACGAGTGTGAGTCTGACTCTCAGTGTGCACGAGTGAGTCTGACTCTCAGTGTGCACGAGTGAGTCTGACTCAGTGTGTACGAGTGTGAGTCTGACTCTCAGTGTGCACGAGTGTGAGTCTGACTCAGTGTGCACGAGTGTGAGTCTGTCTCTCAGTGTGCACGAGTGTGAGTCTGACTCTCAGTGTGCACGAGTGTGAGTCTGACTCTCAATGTGTACGAGTGTGAGTCTGACTCTCAGTGTGCACGAGTGTGACTCTGACTCTCAGTGTGCACGAGTGTGAGTCTGACTCTCAGTGTGCACGAGTGTGAGTCTGACTCTCAGTGTGCACGAGTGTGAGTATGACTCTCAGTGTGCACGAGTGTGAGTCTGACTCTCAGTGTGCACGAGTGTGAGTCTGACTCTCAGTGTGCACGAGTGTGAGTCTGACTCTCAGTGTGCACGAGTGTGAGTCTGACTCTCAGTGTGTACGAGTGTGAGTCTGACTCTCAGTGTGCACGAGTGTGAGTCTGACTCAGTGTGCACGAGTTTGAGCCCGACTCTGAACAATGTTTCACTCCTCGTGCATTTCGGCACCCATGCCATCTTTGTGTGAATATCAAACTCCTGGCACTGGCCACCATTTCACAGGCATCTGTTATCACTGTAGGGCATATGAATATGAAGTTGACCTGATGGTACATGTTATGACACGTGAACTTGTGTAAGGCAGCTGGTAAAATGTATAAATTGTTGGGAGTGATCAGGGTGCACAAGTATCCTGCTGTTCTAAACTGGACAGAGTAGTAAATGTTAAAATACCACGCCCTGATAAGAGGCAGGGACTGAATTTAAGGTCAGTAGACGTTAGAAACCGCAATTTTGGTCATACTATCCTGAATATGGACTTTCCACTGATGCGTTTCTAACCAGGCCACGTTTATGAGTTTGTATTGTCGGCAAACTTCAGGGCCACCCTCCTCCGAGTAACGGTGTCATTCTGCAACTAAATTTGAATGAAGGGACCATAAACAAGAAACATTAACGCAGGCAACAGGAATAGCTGAAACTCACACCGCTTCCTGCGCAGGACAGCGGCGGCTTTCAGATGGTGTCTCTGGTGGAGCTGGCGGAGGTGACGGAGGAGGGGGTCCGCTTCTCATCTCCATATGATGGCCGCCACATCCTCCTGACGCCCGAGGCCTCCATTCACATTCAGAATTCCCTGGGTGAGAGGCCTCCATCCACATTCACAATGCCCTTGGGAGCTCCCTGCATTCACCTTCACAATGCCCTTGGAAAGCGACACTGCCTTGAAGGGAATGCTCATGCAGAGATGCACACGGCTGTGATGTAGTAAAGAAGTGCGTGCTGTGTATCTCCGGATGTGGCATAGTGACGAGGTGTGTGCTGTGTGTGTCAGGATGTGGCATAGTGACGAGGTGTGTGCTGTGTGTGTCGGGATGTGGCAGAGTAATGAGGTGTGTGCTGTGTCAGGCTCTGACATTATGATGCAGCTGGATGATGTGGTGAGCAGCACGGTGACCGGGCCACGTGTGGAGGAAGCCATGTGGAGGTGAGGGTGCTGTCACGTGGTGTGTTCACTCGTCAGTGACGCGGTGTGTTCACTCGTCAGTGTGTCACGTGGTGTGTTCACTCGTCAGTGTGTCACGTGGTGTGTTCACTCGTCAGTGTGTGACGTGGTGTGTTCACTCGTCAGTGACGCGATGTGTTCACTCGTCAGTGTGTGACGTGGTGTGTTCACCCGTCAGTGTGTGACGTGGTGTGTTCACTCGTCAGGTCCGTGCGCTGGTTGGATCGCTGCATTGCAGCAAACAAGAACCCAGACTCCCAGAACCTGTTTGCGATCATCCAGGGCGGACTTGACCCCGACCTACGGCTCAAGTGTCTGCAGGGTACGCGGCGCACGCCAGGCCACTGAGGGTCTGGAGCTCGCTTCGTGAAGTCCGCCCGCACGGTCACTGAGTACCAGTGGCACCCTGGCTACCCTCTAAACAAGAGATTGAATGCACTCGTGGTCGCCCTCCGGGATGAAGATGGAACCACATCATGATAGATAGACACTTATAATGAGTACAGACACACACAAATAAATGTCCCAGGAACAAAATAAATGTTCTCGTAAATAAGAAGAAGTTGCAGATGTCACATTGTGGTCAATGCCACCACCTAGAGTACAGCAAACACTCCTGGGCCAAACACTCGGAGCACATGGTGGCAGCAAACATTGACGCCTGTGCTGTATGAATGAGTCTTAATGAGCACGAGATCGGTCTCCAGTGATACCTTTGTTCCACTGTTACCTGTTGCGAGTTTCTTTAAGATGACACAATGGCTGCATACGTAGTTTTTAACCGAACTGTAGGCCTGAATCAGGCTGATGGAGCCATTGTGCTTGCAAGACACATCTTCATGTGTTGTTTTAACTGTTTGGTTTTTGTTGTGATGGATTTCCTCATCGTTTATAGAACTGGATTCGAGGGGTAGATGTACAGGACAGGCGGTCGTCACTTTTACGACACAATGCGCTCCTGGAAACCCCGTCGTAAAATTGGATTATAGTCAATCGGACTGTCGTAAACTGCTTGTATTGAGTGCCTAAAAATGTATTTCTTGCTGCCCCTGCTGTTGGCGCAGAGATGAGCAAGCGCGACGTGCCAGGCTTCGCCATCGGGGGCCTGAGCGGCGGAGAGGAGAAGCAGCTGTTCTGGAGAGCGGTGAAGCTGAGCACCAAGCACCTGCCCCGCGACAAGCCCCGATACCTCATGGGCGTAGGGTGAGCCGCGTGCTACAGAGCCCCGAGAGCGCTGCGTACGCTCAGCGAGTCGCCTTCCGCTCCGGCTGGCAAGATGCGCTTCCACTCGGCTGCTCGTGGGCGTGCAAGCGCAGCGCGCCGCGCTCCAGACCCGGCAACCCGAGTTCAGTTCCCGCTAACCGCCAATGACACTGGTGAATAATTGAACCGGTCCTGGGTCGTCTTGACCTCCAAGTTACATGTTGTATTTGTTGAACCAGGTGAGATCTCAGCGGTCCAGGATAGAGTCTCATTCACAAGAACAACCTACAATGAGGGCCTGGCACGGTGCGGGAACATCACCACTGGGGAAACCGAGGTGGCCGGGCGAGGTGCCACCTCGATGCCGGCACGGTGGAGGTTCTCAGTGCCCCTCTTGTGGTGTGTGAGGCTACATGGGAGGGTGGTTGTCTCTGTGTGCGGTGCAGCTACGCCACGGACCTGGTGGTGTGTGTCGCCCTCGGCTGTGACATGTTCGACTGCGTATTCCCCACTCGGACAGCCGTGAGTACGCCTTCCCACACAGACCGGTACCGATCTGCACCGCCACCCAGCACCACTGCTGCGTAGCAGGGGCAGAATGGGTGGCAATCCCTGGCCCGCTCCGCCTGATGCAAGGCCATGACCTAGCAGGGGCCTGTGGACAACCGTGTGTGGGAGTGAGTCAAGAATATTCGTAACCCCCAAATGTGAATTCTGTCTCGGTCCGCACACCCCTAACGATGGCACTGGAGATAACTGCCGACCTCTATGTTTACGTCCAATCCCTACTCTCGTCAAACAGGTGGTTCCTGATTATTGAGTGAGACGTCGGAGTTTGGAGTGTGTGATGTTCATCGGTAACGGACGTGTGCGATGGTGCGTAGAGATTTGGCTCGGCGCTGGTGCCATCCGGCTCTCTCCAGCTGAAGAACAAGACATTCGCCAAAGACTTCGCTTCCATAGATGACCAGTGCACTTGCCCCACGTGCAAAAGGTCAGTGTGCGTTCTGTCGGCGTCAGGTCCTGTGCGGTACGGAGACAATTCAACTATTTAAACTTTTTATTTTTCCAGGTCAGAAGGCCCACTTAGCTATTTAGCTCTTTTTCAGAAGCGATCTGGCCACAAATGATTGTTTCACAAAGTGGCTTATCACATGGATATTTATGGTAGCAAAATTCTCTAAACGCATGTTGATTGTAAATGTGGAGGGAAAAGCCAGAGGACCCGGAGAAAAATCCACGCGATCACGGGGAGAACATGCAAACTCCAAATATACAGGTTTCAGTGTTGGGATCTAACCCATGACCTGTATACCAGGCTAGGTAGTTAATATATCTCCATTGCAGCGCCCCAATTGCAGTTGTGCCATGAACATCAGGGATTTCAGCGGCACGCGTCAAGTTCTGTTATCTGCTGCATACTTAAATCATAAATGTTTCCTTCAGAATTCACTTTAACTAACCACAACCATTTGTTTTTTTAACAGATTAATATCGATGCTGTTTGGTGGCGGTTGTGGTCCAGATTTCACTGTAGAATGTCTATCAACTTATCAGTTACAATGCATCCAGAAGTAGATATCATTTGTTATGGGACCAGTTGTGGAGGACTGCTATAAATTTAGCCAAAGTAACCTTGACCTCTAACAATTGAGAATCGGCGAGACGTTTTAAATGATTTCCAGTAATTTGTCAATGCACTGCCAAATGAAGGCTTTTAACATCGTCTGATTGACCCTACTTCACCGCGCTGGTCAGTGCAGATTTGTGAAGGAATCACGGGCTTGGCTTGTGCGTGTGGTTCTCCTCTCCCAAGGTGTTCGAGAGCGTTCCTGCACGGGCTGTTCCGGAGCGACCCCGCGGCGTGCCACTACGTTACGGTGCACAATATCGCCTACCAGGTATGCACCCAGCGCCACACGCACTTCCACTCGTTCTCACGCTCCACGCTCCTCCACTCGTTCTCACGCTCCACGCTCCACTCGTTCTCACGCTCCACGCTCCACTCGTTCTCACGCTCCACACTCCTCCACTCGTTCTCACGCTCCACACTCCTCCACTCGTTCTCACACTCCACACTCCTCCACCCGTTCTCACGCTCCACACTCCTCCACTCGTTCTCACGCTCCACGCTCCACTCGTTCTCACGCTCCACACTCCTCCACTCGTTCTCACGCTCCACACTCCTCCACTCGTTCTCACGCTCCACACTCCTCCACTCGTTCTCACGCTCCACACTCCTCCACTCGTTCTCACGCTCCACGCTCCACTCGTTCTCACGCTCCACACTCCTCCTCGTTTTCACGCTCCACACTCCTCCACTCGTTCTCACGCTCCACACTCCTCCACTCGTTCTCACGCTCCACACTCCTCCACTCGTTCTCACGCTCCACACTCCTCCACTCGTTCACGCACCGCACGCTCCTTCACGCGCTCTCACACTGGACGGTCTACATGCTGTTTTGTTGGTAATTGCACGTGTGTTTTAGAAACTTTAGTAACCTTCAACGATTTAATAATGAGCAATATCTAGTGGTAGGGGGGCATGCGGGGACAGGTCCTAGTTCAGGTAGGGGGAACTCAATGGGAGCCAGGATGGGAACTGCTGGCCTCTCTCTCCGTAGCGTGAAGCTCATCTCACCGGCCACCCACCGGCGCTCGCGCCCCAACACTTGATGCGCCGTGCCTCTCCTCCCTGCACAGCTGTCGCTGATGAGCGCCATGAGGGACAGCATCGTGGAGCAGCGCTTCCCGGACTTTGTGCGCGGGTTCATGGCCCGGCGGTACGGCTCGCGCGACGCCTACCCACACTGGGCCGTGGACGCGCTGGCATCCGTCAACATCGTCCTCCCATAAGGCGCGCTCTGGTCGCGTGCTCGTGGGCGATTTCAGCAACATTTTCACTGCCAGATCTTGTCTGATGGCGCGTGCCTCGACATACAGCCCGTTTCTCAACGTGCACCGCGTTTTCGTTCCCACGCGTGTCTGTGTAACCGCTGTGGTTTGATGAGGACCGTTGCAGCCTCGATGACCCCACCCTGCTGCCTTGTCTGTATGCAACACACGTGGCCCTCTCCCCACAGCTACGTTCACATCAAATGCGGTCCATTGGCTGTAAGAGGTGATATTATAATTGGTGATATTTTATACTGTGCAAGTAGTCCCGAGTTCACGTTATCTGGTGCACTTCTCTGTTTTAACGAGTTGCAATGATCTCATTTAAAATAAACGTCGATGCCTCCCACGTGTTTACGCATTTCTTCACGCACGCGTCGTGAGACGCCCTTCTCGTCACCAAGTGTTTGCCAACTCTAACCGAGTAAAACCCCAGGGCTCAGAACGTCCTGGGACAAACCCTGCTGCTCCATCTGGGGCTTGTTTTTGTCTTCATTGTGGCTCTCCCACTTCCACCCATCACGTATTCCTCAGCAAGGCAGACGGTTATATTGAGGGCGACAATTGACATGACTCTGCCTCTTTATATATACACTGTGCCTATCCTTACAATTTAAATGTTTATTCATGGAGATATGGTTAAATGTTATCATACAAACAAAAAAACATGGTCACATTTTTTTCGTATGCAGTCTCCTGTGCCGATTGGATAATGCGGCCCGGACCATGGGGAGAACATGTCCACTAAAAATATACAGGCATTGTCAGGGTTGGAATGGGTCACCAGCACCACGCCTGGCCGCCTTTGTCTCCCACGTGGTGATGTTTACACACCACACATGGACTCATTTGAGGCCGAGTAGACATCGAAGAGGCCCAAAACCTGTTCTGATAATCGTCACTGCTTTTGGCCATGAGCGGGGAATCAAACTCGGTCGCCAGGTTCGTAGCGCGGTACGCCAACACCTCCAACCACAACTCCCCATACAAGGCATACTGAAAGACACGGACCCTCACTCCCAGCGCACGTTGGATGGTTAAAACATGATTATCTCATGGAATCTCTTTCGTTAGTGCGGATATCGTAAGTCGGACGTTCGAAAGTTGGGGATTGTCTGTATACAGTGGCCAGAGTTCTCCATGAATGAAACCCTAATAAGTATTAACTAAATGTTTTTTTTTTAAAGCGTACATTTCTCGCTTAATTTGAGTCACCATCTCCTGAGTACCCATAACGTACGTACCCCGTGTCTGTCGTACACCCTTCTCCACTTGATAGACACAAAATTTACACTAACAAAAACATTTGTTCGAGGGTAGCAAGTGTTATTTTCCAATTGCTTTTGCCTCGAAAGAACAGAAAGTGGCTATTATTCCCCACAAACTCTGCGTTTGTGACCAGGACACAAGCAAAGTTAATATCCACTCGATTAATAACACTAACAAATGTATTATGTTTTTGTTCCTGGGTAGTCCGTGTTATTTCCTAATTGCTTACGCCCCACGCGGAGCACGTGGAGGAGGAAGACGACGAGGAGGAGGAGGAAGAGATTATCGGCTTCGCACTTGACCCCGATCTCGCAGCATCATCTCCATGAGAGGTTTTAGCAAGAGAGAGAGAGATCTCCACACGGTCATCTGAACTGGTCCTGGGCTTCCCCTAGTTCGACTCGGCCTCACGAGTACCTCGTGTGGAATATAAACATCACCACTAGGGAGACAAAGGTGGCCGGGCGTGGTGCTGGCCACCCACCTTGTGTGTCATGCCAGCCTTCGCTAACAGCACTTGCCCCAACAGCATGTGAGAAGCTCCGCGGGGGAGGGAGTCTTTGTAGGTGTGTAGTGACATGCCTCTGTATACGCGCAGAAGTCGAGATGGGAACTCGGCTGGTTCTGCAGAAGCATCGCGATCGAGCATCCGCACAAAGACAACATAAGAACCCATATCTAGCATAGAGAGAGGGTCCTTGCCTGGAAAACATATCTCAAGCAATTTACACGAACGACGAGATATACCAACATGTACAGTACTGTATTTGGTGTGAATTATGATCTTGATATGAGCCGGATATCTCTACGCCAGCCATTCGCAATGAAGTTGCTGTGACATCACCACAGTGAAATTTCGATTTAAAGCTTTCGTGACTGCAGGGATTCATCTTCTTGGTTCTTTCTGTAAAGTCACGTAGAATGGAAATAATAAAATAATAAAAATAAACCAATAAAATAATTCTCACAACGCAAGCAGCCGTCCTCAGGTGAAGAACAGGTCTGTCGAGACGACAGAGTCTGAATGACACGTCCTGGGCTTGGAGCGTCTATGTAAGCTGGGAGGGACAAGGAAGAGCACCTTGACAAACAATTTGCATATCAAGAGGAATTTTAGCATATTTATGGGAAATGCAGATATGCGATTAGTACTAGTTGTGAAATGCGTAGGAGGTTTGGCGAGGTGTTTAAAGCAGAGGTGTGGACTCGAGTCATGTGACTTGGACTCGAGTCAGACTCGAGTCATGAATTTGATGACTTCAAACTCGACTTGGACTTGCATAACAATGACTTTGTCCCACCTCTGGTTTAAAGTTATGTTTTGCCCGTGCATTATGCAGGATTGGCAGCATCAAAGGGAGGAGATAGGGGGAAGCATTAATAAAGGGAAGGAATGTTAATAGTCTGTAGCTGCAGTAACTAGACCACCACGTAAACTACTAAAGTATAAACTACATAGTATCATCAGTATACTAAATATACTCTCCAATAAGCTGAGCTACTAACAGTAAGTAATACATTACAATTCTATGTCACAAAAAATATAATATGCTTCCAGATAAACTTTATTCTCTTACATCACACGGGTCTACACCGTACTATATACTACCACCCTATTAGGTCTTCGGTGGTGTATAGTAATACAGTATATAATTTAATGTTGGGTTTGTCTATGGCAGTATATAGTACGGTGTAGACCATCCACGCATATAAAGGATTTATACTGGTAGGAACGAAGTGAACCAGCCTACAATAGATTATATCGTCCGTCCGTCCGTGTAGCAACATCGCCCCCTACTGCAAACACTTGGCAGGACCCTACAAAAACTTTAGACTCAGTGACGCTTTCCTGGCTAAACAAGTGTAACATTCCCTTATAATTCCCTGAGATAGCTTTTCATTAAAACATTTAAATTAAAAATTAACTCACAGCAGCCTAAAGCCTACAGCTAGGCCTAAAGCCTAGAACTAGGCCTCAAACTCTCCCTTCGTATCGTACCCCCGCATGTGTGAAAGGGAGTTAATGTTTTACAATGTTACATTCCCTGATGTTTTTTTAAAATAGAAACATTTACATTTAAAGCTTTTACATTAATAATTAAAACATTTAAATTAAAAATTAACTCACAGCGGCCTAAAGCCTCCAGCTAGGCCTAAAGCCTAGAACTAGGCCTAAAACTCTCCCTTCGTATCGTCCGATTAGGTGTAGCAACATCGCCCCCTACTGCAAACACTTGGCAGGACCCTACAAAAACCTTTACACTCAGTGAGGCTTTCCTGGCTAAACAAGTGTAATAATACATTATGTTTATATTCTTTGGTTATTCGTTCCTACCAGCCCACCCCGCAGGGACCTGTTAGTGAAAAACTTTGTTTCTACTGGTTATACTTGTTTCCGCCTGAGGATGACTGCTTGTGTTGCGATCGAAACGTTGTGATATTTTTTTTTATACCTACGTGACCTTACCGAAAGAACCAAAGAGTATGAATGTGAGTGTTGTGAGTAATGTGAGTGTTAATATTCTTAGTAATGTGAGTGTTGTTAGTAATGTGAGTGTTGTTAGTAATGTGAGTGTTGTTAGTAATGTGAGTGTTGTTAGCAATGTGAGTGTTGTTAGTAATGTGAGTGTTGTTAGTAATGTGAGTGAGTGTTGTTAGTAATGTGAGTGTTGTTAGTAATGTTAGTGTTGTTAGTAATGTGAGTGTTGTTGTTAGTAATGTGAGTGTTGTTAGTAATGTGAGTGAATGTTGTTAGTAATGTGAGTGTTGTTAGTAATGTGAGTGTTGTTGTTAGTAATGTGAGTGAGTGTTGTTAGTAATGTGAGTGTTGTTAGTAATGTGAGTGAGTGTTGTTAGTAATGTGAGTGTTGTTAGTAATGTGAGTGTTGTTAGTAATGTGAGTGTTGTTAGTAATGTGAGTGTTGTTAGTAATGTGAGTGTTGTTAGCAATGTGAGTGTTGTTAGTAATGTGAGTGTTGTTAGTAATGTGAGTGTTGTTGTTAGTAATGTGAGTGTTGTTAGTAATGTGAGTGAGTGTTGTTAGTAATGTGAGTGTTGTTAGTAATGTTAGTGTTGTTAGTAATGTGAGTGTTGTTGTTAGTAATGTGAGTGTTGTTAGTAATGTGAGTGTTGTTAGTAATGTGAGTGTTGTTGTTAGTAATGTGAGTGAGTGTTGTTAGTAATGTGAGTGTTAATTGGTTCTTTACCCTTCTATCTGGCAACAAAACTGACACCTTTTTGCAAGGAGTCATGTTTGCATAGACCGCAATACCTGCAGTCATAAATACAAACAAAAGAACATAACTCTGATAATGTGCACTGTCCTTGAAGTTGATTGGTCCACACCCGAGACAGCTTTCCTTCGAGCCTAGTCTCATATGGGTTGGACCAGATGACGCCAAAAGGCGCACAACTCAAGGACAATGCACCATCAGAGTATGAGAGCTCGGGGCAAGCATCTACACTATGGGGACCTCATTTGCCAGTAAAAATATGATAATTGGTTCTTTACCCTTCTATCTGGCAACAAAACTGACACCTTTTTGCAAGGAGTCATGTTTGCATAGACCGCAATACTGCAGTCATAAATACAAACAAAAGAACATAACTCTGATAATGTGCACTGTCCTTGAAGTTGATTGGTCCACACCCGAGACAGCTTTCCTTCGAGCCTAGTCTCATATGGGTTGGACCAGATGACGCCAAAAGGCGCACAACTCAAGGACAATGCACCATCAGAGTATGAGAGCTCGGGGCAAGCATCTACACTATGGGGACCTCATTTGCCAGTAAAAATATGATAATTGGTTCTTTACCCTTCTATCTGGCAACAAAACTGACACCTTTTTGCAAGGAGTCATGTTTGCATAGACCGCAATACCTGCAGTCATAAATACAAACAAAAGAACATAACTCTGATAATGTGCACTGTCCTTGAAGTTGATTGGTCCACACCCGAGACAGCTTTCCTTCGAGCCTAGTCTCATATGGGTTGGACCAGATGACGCCAAAAGGCGCACAACTCAAGGACAATGCACCATCAGAGTATGAGAGCTCGGGGCAAGCATCTACACTATGGGGACCTCATTTGCCAGTAAAAATATGAT